AGATCATTCTGTCATTTCTTAATTGCATCCATGTACTGCATTTCAGACTCGTTTGTTTACTATGATGGCTACTACATTTCTTCTAAGGGATTCTTGCCCACAGTAGTAGATATAATGGCCATCTAAGTTAAATTCACCCATCCAGTCCATTTTAGTTCACTGATTCCTGAAATGTTGATGTTCACTCTTGCCATCTCCTGTTTGACCACTTCCAATTTGCCTTGATTCATGGACTTAACTTTCCAGGTTCCTATGTAATATTATTGTTCTTTACAGCATTGGACTTTACTTCCATCACCAGTCACATCCACAACTGGGAGTTGTTTTTGCTTTGGCTCCATCTCTTCATTCTTTCTGGAGTTATTTCTCCACTGATCTCCAGTAGCATATTGGGCACCTACTGACCTGGGGAGTTGATCTTTCAGTGTCCTATCTTTTTGCCTTTTCACGCTGTTCATGGGATTCTCAAGGCAAGAATACTGAAGTGGTTTGCCATTTCCTTCTCCAGTGGACCACGTTTTGTCAGAACTGTCCATCATGACCCATCCATCTTGGGTGGCCCTACACGGCATGGCTCATAGTTTCACTGAGTTAGACAAGGCTGTGGTCCATGTGATCAGATTGGTTAGTTTTCTGTGGTTGTGGTTTTCATTCTGTGCCCCCTCTGATGGAGAAGGATAAGAGGCTTATGGAAGCTTCCTGCTGGGAGAGACTGACTGTGGGGGAAATTGGGTCTTGTTCTGATGAGCAGGGCCATGCTCACTAAACCTTTTAATCCAATTTTCGGTTGATGGGTGGAGCTGTGTTCCCTCCCTGTTCTTTGACCTGAGGCCAAACTATGGTGGAGGTGATGAGGATAATGGCGACCTCCTTCCAAAGGTCCCGTGCACACACTGCTACATTCAGTGCCCCCAATCCTGCAGCAGGCCACCGCTGACCCACAGTTCTGCTGGAGACCTCTGGACACTCACAGGCAAGTCTGGGTCAGTCTCTCGTGGGGTCACTGCTCCTTTCTCCTGGGTCTTGTGTGCACAAGCTTTTGTTTGTGCCCTCCAAGAGCCTGTTTCCCCAGTCCTATGTAAGTCCTGAAGGCTCTATGGTGGGGTTGATAGTGACCTTCTCCAAGAGGGCTTATGCCATACCCAGGTCTACTGCACCCAGAGCCCCTGCCCCTACAGCAGTCCACTGCTGCCCCATACCTCCTCAGGAGACACTCAAACAGTTCTGGCTCAGTCTCTGTGAAGTCTCTGGGTCCTGGTGCACACAAGGTTTGTTTTAGCCCTCTGAGCATCTCTGATGGGTATGGGGTTTGATTCTAAATGCATTTTCACCCCTCCTATTGTCTTACTTAGGTTTCACCTTTGCACTTGGATGTGGGGTATCTTTTTTTGGTGGGATCCAACATTCTTCTGTTGATGGTTGTTCAGCAGTGAGTTGTAGTTTTGGAGTTCTCAGAGGAAAAGAGGAGTGCATGTCCTTCTGCTCTGCCATCTTGGAGTCAAATACAAATCCCACTTCTAGAGCAGGAGAATGAGTATTCATTATGTTGGTTGTCATGTTCAACAGCTATAACCCAAAATATTCTTAAAAGGTCAGAAATTCTCTGAGACATGTCCAGGTTCTCTCTTTCAAAGCATGGCCAGTGCCATACACACCTCATTTCCCCAAAAATGTCTGTGAGTGTCCAGGAGTCTCCAGTGGAGGTGTGGGTCAACAATGGCTTAGTGGTCACAGTCTCTCTCCATTTTTATTTCTGGAAAGGTCCTAATTTCTCCATAACTTTCGAAGAACAGTTTTTTCCTGGATAGACGATTTTTGTTTGATTGTTCTTTTTTTTTTCTTTTAGCACTTTGAGTATGTACACTCACTGTCTTGGAGTTCTGAGTTCCTAGTGAGAAATTTCATAATCTTGTTTAGAATCCTCTCTATGTGATTATTCTATCTCTTTCTTGCAACTTTCAATATTCTCTCTTTGTCTTTTGAAAGCATGAGTATTATGTGTTTCTTTGAGTTCATCTTAGGGTGCATTGAGATTTTGTCATGTTTATATTCACATCTTTAATCAAATTTGGATAGTTTTCTGCCATTATTTTTTCAGACATTCTCTCTGCTCTCTTCTCTGCACTGTCTCCTTCTGAGAGTCCTACATTGTATATGTTGGTAGATCTGTTGGTGTTCCACAGTTCCAAAGATTTCTTAGGCTCTGTTCATTTTTCTTTAGTCCTTTCTCTTTGTGTTCCTCAGAGACACTGATTTCCATTATCCTGTTTCCAAGTTCTCTAATCCTTTCTTCTTTTTGCTCAAATGTGCCTCCCATGGATTTTTAAAGTCCGTTATTGTACTTTTCAATTCCAGAAGTTCTTTGAGGGTTCTTTCTAGTTCTTCTGCCTCTTGTTTGAGATTTCCATGTTTCACTCGTGTTCTCTTGACTTCATGATTTCTTCCTTTAGTTCTTTAAACATCTTTAAGCCAGTCATTTTGTTTTTGCTTTTCAAATATCACTGAGGGCCTACCCATGGGGGGCAGGCAGGAGGCCTCTGTGAAGACAAAGCAGGCGCCAATGAAAGCCGTTATTTGACCTCCTTCTGGAGGCAGTTTGTTGGTATGGCCACATTTGTTCTTGTGGCAGTTGGCAGCATGAAGATTTAGATGAGCGTATACTTGTGGGAGATCATATGTAGCAATATATTTTGGGGCAACCTTGCGGAAGGAATTTTTCAATGATGCTACCCCACAGGCAAAGCATCAAATGCAAGGTGGATTATTTATTTTTTTAAAATTGTTGATTAATGGCTCCGTGCTGAATATCAGCCTGATGTACAAACTGAAAAATATTTCAGGTCTTTCCTGATCTATTCCCTAGGCATACACTATCACTTTCTGATTTTCCTGCATGTGCAGTTGCTTTGGAACATCCTAGTATTTAATGTCTGGCCCCTATAAGGGGAAAAACTGAAGATGAAGTGGGGAAGAAAGGGCATTTGATATGTAAGCCCCTTGAAGTTACTTCATCCAGGGCAGAAGGGGATTAAAAAGGTAGGGGGAGGTGTGTCAAAAATGGCTACCTGTTTCTTTGTCTGATTATCTGTGATCAGAAGCAGCTTTCAGTGATAAGAAAACAGATCCTCATATTTGGAGGACAGGGTCTTTTTTGAACATCCTGGCTCCCACAAGCAACTTTTAAGCTGCTCTGCGAACACATGCAGAGATCCCTGCCGCACTGCTATGGGTGAGGATGGGTAGCTACCACTGCGCTAAGGTAAGAGTTGAAATAGACCAAAATAAGCCAATTTACCTAAGTCTTCACCTGGACATTGTAAACCATCAAGACAAGGCATAGTTCCAAAATAGTGACATCAGGCAGATTCTACCTGTGCGATTGTTATCAAGGTGGGGAGACAGATTCCTGATGCCTCTTAAATTGCCATCATACCAGAAATACACATTATAATCTAGAATCAATGAGTGAGTCTTGTAGAAAAGTCAGCTGGAAGCAGATAGGGTATATTTAACTTAATCAATTAGAAATAATGGAACATTCAGTGAGTATTTATATAGAGAAACCCTACTAGGTAGTTTGAGGAATGCCAAAAGTTTAGTACATAGATTCTTCCTAAAGAGGTTGTATCCTTCTTGAGAAATACAACATATACAGAGAGGCATCAAAGCATAATAGTAAGTGAGAAGAAGTATAAAATATATAGAATTACTCACAGTCATTACAGTGAACTTCCAGAAGGAGGAGAGTGTATTGTGAATTTAAATCATCAGAGAAGATATCTTCAAGTAGGAGTATTCCTGTGCTAATCCTAGGTAGGTGAAGACATACCTCGGAGATATTACAGGTTCAGTTCCAGACCACTGCAATAGCGCAAGTCAAATGAATTTTTTACATATGTTTATACTATATCATAGTCTACTAAGTATGTAATGGAATTATGTCTAAAAAATATACATACCTTAATTTTAAAATGGCATATTGCCAAAAACTATTAGGGCTTCCCTGGTAACTCAGATGGTAAAGAATCTGCCTGCAATGTGGGAGACCCAGGTTCAATCCCTGGGTTGGGAAGATCCCCTGGAGAAGGGAATGGTCATAATCTGAACCTTCAGTGAGTCATAGTAGTAACATTAAATAGCATTGATCACAAATGACCACAACAAATATAATAGTAGTAATAAAGTTTGAAATATGTGATATTTATCAAAATGTGACAAGAGAAATAAAGTGAGGAAACATTGTTGGGAAAATGGCACAAATAAACTTGCTTGATGCAGGGTTGCCACACACCTTCAGTTTGTTAAAATCTCAAAAAGTTAAGAGCAATAAAATGAGGTGGGTTTGTATTCTAATCTAAAAAATATTAATAAGAGTTAAAATTTACCTAGTACTCACTATGTGCCAGAGACTAACTCATCCAATCCTCAGAACAATCCCATAAGTTATGTAGGGGAAGCATTAAGGAAGCATTAAGGGATTTCCCGGAGAAGGAAATGGCAACCCACTCCAGTGTTCTTGCCTAGAGAATCCGTGGACAGAGGAGCCTGGTGGACTGCTGTCCATAGGGTCGCACAGAGTTGGGCACAACTGAAGCGACTTAGCAGCAGCAGCAAGGGATTTCCCAAGCTCAAGCCAGTCATGGAGCTAGAACTTGAATCCAAGCAGGCAAGTTCTAGGGCCCTGATCTCTGCTCAGTCCTTACTGAGCAAAATGGTGTGAGCAAAGAGTAAAAGTCAGTGTGTGATACACGTGCCAGAGGGAGCAGAGGGATACACTGACAAGCGTGACAGTGATTTGCACATTTTACTGTAGGCCAAAGTGGGTCCACATGCAGAAACTCTTTGTTTGATTGAGTTGCAGCTTTAGAACATCCATTATATTAAGAAATTTCTCACTCAAATTTCTATAGTACAGACAAACCATCATATAAAACATTTTTGATTATTATATACATCTTGCAATTGCTTAAAGGACATGCTAACTTTTTTCTCTCATTTAGTTTTTATCTGATTGGAGCAAAAATTCTATATTGTGAAATTTCTGGAGATAATGTGGCCTGGAGTGATAATCTCCCAATTTGTGAAAGTAAGTATGTCTTCTCTTTAGACTATAGAGCAGCAGTTCTCAAACTTTATGACCTCTTTATGCTTTTAAATTAACATCGACCACCAAAGAAATTCTCTTCATATGGGTTATATCTATAGATATTTATTATATTGCAATTAAAATGAAAAGTTTTAAAAATAATTATTAATTCATTTTTAAGAAGTGTTAGCTGCAATACATATAAATATATGCAACATATTTTTATAAAAAGTCAAAAATTTCCAATTTTTGGAATTGTGTGGGAATTGTGTCATTGTTTTATATTTTTGCAAGTTACTTCAATATCTGGTTTAAAGGAACACATTTGGATCTAGTCTACTGGAAAATCAACCAGTTGTATATGAAAAATTTAACCATACGTCATTGGAATGAAAGTGAAAAATGACAATAATACTCAGTATTAATGTGAACAACCAATTTGTGAATGGAGATATTTATAAACCATAAAGTATTTTTCGACTAGCACTGAGTTAACTTTTTAATCACAAGTATATTTTAGCATTAACTTGTCAGCATCTTTCATGATGATAAGAGCAAAACTTAGCATGGCCTTGCAGATAAATATGTATTTCATATTTCAGAAAATAAGTTTTTTCTATATTAATAGCTTGAATTTGGGATAATACATATTCACATAGAGGCTTTCTTCTAAATGGATATTGAATTCACAACTGGGGTATTTTAATTGTATGTTAATGAATTATATGAAGGCAGTTCATAGGACTTTGCTAATGCTGTCTTAATATTTTGCTTTTACTTCATGTCCTTTTTCCTCCCTTTTTAAGTAATTGTGTGTGCAGCACCTGGAAATATAACAAATGGAAGATTCACCGTTTATAAGGAAGTATATCAATATAGTGAAGTAGTAATGTATAGGTGTAATCCTTCAAATGGACCAGATGAATATTCTCTTATTGGAGAAACCACCCTTATTTGTGTTGATCATAACAGATGGAGCAGTGCCCCGCCAGAGTGTAAAGGTAATAATATTTCCATGTATTTCCTTCTGAATCTAAATACTGTGGAAACACTTCAAAAATATTTTTATCTCCAAGTAAACAAAAGATTCCTGTGTACTTGATCCTCCTGCTAAACTGACTTCTAATTTACTTTAATATTGCTCAAATCAAATTAAAAGAGTTATAATTGTAGACTTCCCAACCAGTCACTCAACATGGTCTTGGCATTTCAACTTACACATCATGAACTACTGTGTATATGCATGAGCTAGAACTTTTGGATTTTTTATTGTTGTTGTTATTGCTGTTTGTTTGCAAGCATCAGAAAACTCAACACACTGCAGCTTAAGAAATAAGAAAGTTTTATCTTGTAATATAAGATCTCTGAGAGTTTGGGCTACAGGAACATTAAAAGACTAACCTTCTCACTGATAAGATTGTTAAACTCTGGACAAAGCTTATTTTAACAACTTCACATTAACTAAAAGTGGGGAGACACTGTAGGGGATGTGACTCCTGACAAAGGATTCAGTGAATGATAGCAAAATATTTATTTTCTCCCAGTGTACATGGGACATTCTGTAATATCATTTTTAGGTAATATTTTTAACATATTTATTTCCAAAATATTGAAACTAGTACCAGTACATTGATCTGATCACAATGGGATGAATGTAGAAATCAAACCAAATACTTAAAAAGTGTGTAAGGCACTTTTAAATAACCCATGAGTCAAAGAAGCAGTCACAAGGGAAATAGAAACTGTTTTTAATTGATTAAAAACTAAAATTTGGTATATTAATATATAAAAATTTGTGGGATACAGCAAAAATTTTGCAAAAGTTTTGCTCAGGGGATCTTTATAATGTGAAATACTTACGTTGGAAAAACAGAAAAGTCTCAAATCAGTCATCTATGCTTCTACCATTAGAAATTTAAAAAGAAGAGCAAATTAAATCTACAACAAGAAAACAAAAGGAAATAATAAAATTGGAGAGCCATGAAAATGAAAAGAGAAACAAAACAGAGATAATCAAAGAAATCAGCCTGGTTTTTGGAGAATATGGATAAAATAGATAAATCCATAGACAGTCTGACAGGAAAACAAAGATAAAATCACCAATATCAAGATTGAAAAGGAGAACGTCATAAAATATCCTATAGACGTTTAAAGAATAATAAGGAAAAAAACAAACTACCATATGCCTATAAATTTGACAACTTAAACCTTCTCACAAAGAGTACTGCAAACCATGTATCCTTACTGGTGAACTCTACCAAACATTTAAGCTGTAAATAATGGCAGTTCTACACAAAGCCCCTGGGCCTCCCCGAGGCTCAGCAGTAGAGAATCCGCCTGCAATGCAGAAGCGTCAGGGGCCATGGGTTCCATCCCTGGGTTGGGCGGATCCTTTTGAGGAGGGCATGGCAACTCACTCTAGTATTCTTGCCTGGAGAATCCCATGGACAGAGGGGCCTGGGGGGCTCCAGTCTGTGGGGTCACAAAGAGTTGGACACGACTGAAATGACTTAGCATGCACACACACAAACCCAAAGCCTTAAAAAAATACAAGAGGAGAGAATCTTTCACAGTTCATTTCAAGGACAGCATTGCCCTGATGCAAAAACCAGGTGTACAACATAATGATTCCACATTTACATACATAACAAGATGATCACCATGATGTCTAGTTCCCATCTGTCACCATGTAAAATAAGTACAGAATTGTTGACTGTATTGTCTAGTCTGTGTATCATAACCTCATAACTTATTTATTTTATAACTAGAAGATTTTGCATTTTAATCCACTTATTTTCCTTCTCTTTCCAGCCACCTGCTCTCTGCCAATCACTAGGTCTCTGTATTCACGAATCTGTTTCCTTTTTGTTTTATTAGTTTATTTGTTTTATTTTGTAGATCCCACATATAACTGAAACCACATGGTGTTTCTCTGACTGACTTATTTCACGTTGCATAATTCCCACTATATCCATCAATGCTGTCGCAAATGGCAAGATTTCATTCTTTTTATGACTAGGTAATATTCCATTTTATATGTACCATATCTTCTTTATTCATTATTCTATCAGGACACTTAGGTTGCTTTCATATCTTAGGTACTGGAAAAAAAAATGCTATAATGAAAAAAGGGCTGCACAAATCTTTTCGAATTAGTGTTTTGTTTTCTTTGGGTTAATACCCAGAAGTAAAATTGCTGATCATATGGTAGTTCTATTGCCCTCAGTCTATGGTTCATTTTATTTATTTCTATACAGTATCCTTTGAAGCAAAATTTAGCTATTCTTTAAATGTGTAATAGAATTCATCTGTGAACCCACGGAGTCCTAGATTTTGTTTACTGGAAATTATTTACTAATTCAATTTCATTACTAGTAATTGCTCTATCCCCATTTTCTATTTGGAGAAGGCAATGGCAACCCACTCCAGTACTCTTGTCTGGAAAATCCGATGGGCAGGGAGCCTGGTAGGCTGCAGACCATGGGATCATTAAGAGTCGGTCACAACTGAGCGACTTCACTTTCACTTTTCACTTTCAAGCATTGGAGAAGGAAATGGGACCCCACTGTAGTGTTCTTGCCTGGAGAATCCCAGGGACGGGGGAGCCTGGTGGGCTGCCGTCTATGGGCTCGCACAGAGTCGGACACGACTGAAGTGACTTAGCAGCAGCAGCAGCAGCATTTTCTATTTCTTCTTGACTTAGCGTTGGCAGATAATATGTTTTTAGGAACTTATCCATTTATTCCAGGTTTTCCAATTTTGAATATATAATTATTCATAGTATTCTTTTATGATCCTTTGTATTTCTGTGGTATTGATAGTAACTTCTCTTTTATTTTTCATTTTTTTGGATCCTTTCTTTTGTTTCTTGATGAGTATGGCTATATGTTTGTCAATTCTATCTTTTCAACGAGCCAGCTCTTATTTTCACTGATTTTCAGTCTCAATTTCATTTATTTCCACTCTTTTCTTTATTATTTTAGCCTTCCACAAACTTGCAGAGATGGTTGTTCTATTTTTTATATATAGGTGTAAATTTAGATTGTTTACTTGAGATTATTCTTGTTCTTAAGGTAGGCCTGGATGGCTACAAACTTCTGTCTTAGAACTGTTTTTCCTGTGTTACATAGATTTGGAATGAATTGTTTCTATTTTCATTAGTCTTAAGATATCTTTTATTTCCTTTTTAATTTCTTCAGTGAACTACTGATCATTTAGTAACATGTTTTTTTGGTCTCCATTTGTTTTTTAGCCATTTTTCTTCTGGTAGTTGATTTGTATTTTCATACTATCATGACTGGAAGAGATGTTGGACCACAGATTCAAATGTAAAACCTAAACTATAAGACTTATGAGAAGACAGAAAATATTTGTGAGTTAGCAGAGATTTCTTCAAAAACTTTAAAAGCATTATTCTTTAAAGAAAAAAACATAAAACAACAAAAAAAGACTGGATTTCTTAAAAACTGAGAACTTCTCTCAAAGACACTATTTGAAGAAAGAAAAAACTTGTCATAGACTGGGAGAAAATATTTATCAGGAACATTTCTGAATGGACTTCTAGCTATGATGTATAAAGAACTCTCAAAACACAATAAGAAGAAAGCAGCCCAGTTTACACAAAAGGAGTAACATATTTGGATAGAATTTTTCCCACTGAAGAAGAATGTGGATGTTAAAAAAATTACATGAAACATTGCTCAATATCATTAGTAATAACAGAAATGTAGTTTAAAACCATGATGAGAAACCACTAAGAACTTATTCAAATGCATGAAATTAAAAAGAAAAAAATAACAATTCCATGTTTTGGTGAGGATATGTTATATTTGGGACTCTGATAACACTGCTGATAAGAATGCAAGTGATATGATCATTTGGAACACAATTTAGCAACTACACATACAATTAAACATATACTTAAGGTACAATTCAGCTACCCAGGGTAAAATGAAAACATGTACATATAAAATCTGATATGAGAATATTCATAATATCCTTAGTCATAATCATCCTATACTGGAAACAACTCATATGTCCTTGAACTGGTAAATGGAGGAACATCATTGGTACATGCATATAATTATAATACTCTGCAGGAAAGGATGATGAGCTTTTAATTCAGACAACAGGAATGAATCTCAAATGCATTGTCCTAAGTAAAGTAAGTCAAACTCAGAGGATGTGATTCCGTATGACATTCTGGAAAAGCAACACTATTGCTGCCCCTCAGTTGTGTCCGACTTTGAGACCCCATGGATTGCAGCGCACTGGGCTTCCCTGTCCTTCACCATCTTCCAGAGCTTGCTCAGACTCATGTCCGTTGAGTCAGTGATGCTATTCAATCATCTTGTCCTCTGTCATCCGTCCCCTATTCGTCCTACCTTCAATCTTTCTGAGCATCAGGGTTGTTTCCAATGAGCCGGCGCTTTGCATCAGGTGGCCAAAGTATTGAGCTTCAGCTTCAGCATCAGTCCTTCTAATGAATATTCAGGACTGAGTTCTTTTAGGGTGACTGGTTTGATCTCTTTGCTGTCCAAAGGATTCTCAGGAGTCTATTCCAACACCATACAGTTCAAAAGCATAATTCTTTGGTGCTCAGCCTTCTTTATGGTCCAACTCTCACATCCATACATGACTACTGGAAAAACCATACCTTTGACTAGACGGACCTTTGTTGGCAAAGTAATGTCTCTGCTTTTTAATACATAGTCTAGGTGTGTCATAGTTTTTCTTCCAAGGAGGAGCATCTTTTAATTTCATGGCTTCAGTCACCATCTGCAGTGATTTTGGAGCCCAAGAAGATAAACCCCATCACTGTTTCCATTGTTTCCTCATCTATTTGCCACAAAGTAATGGGACCAGATGTCATGATGTTCATTTTATAAGTGTTAAGTTTTAAGCCATTTTTTTTTCACTCTCCTCTTTCACCTTCATCAAGAGGCTCTTTGGTTCCTCTTCACTTTCTGCCTCAAGGGTGGTGTCATCTGCATATCTGAGG